TTGGTATACTTATTGTAGAACCATACCATTGCACACTGTATTAGTTGGTATGCTTATTGTAGAGCCATACCATTGCACACAGTATTAGTTGGTATGCTTGCTGTAGAGCCATACCATTGCACACAGTATTAGTTGTTGTGCTTATTGTAGAACCATGCCATTGCACACAGTATTAGTTGGTATACTTATTGTAGAGCCATACCATTGCACAGAGTTTTAGTTGGTATGCTCATGGTAGAGCCATACCATTGAACACAGTATTAGTTGGTATGCTTACTGTAGAGCCATACAATTGCACACAGTATTAGTTGTTATGCTTATTGTAGAACCATACCATCGCACGCAGTATTAGTTGTTATGCTCATGGTAGAGCCATACCATTTCACACAGTATTAGTTGGTATGCTTATTGTAGAACCATACCATTGCACACAGTATTAGTTGGTATGCTTATTGTAGAGCCATATTAGTTGGTATGCTTATTGAAGAGCCATACCATTGCACACAGTATTAGTTGTTATGCTTATTGTAAAGCCATACCATTACACAGAGTTTTAATTGGTATGTTCATGGTAGAGCCATACCATTGAACACAGTATTAGTTGGTATGCTTACTGTAGAGCCATACAATTGCACACAGTATTAGTTGGTATGCTTACTGTAGAGCCATACCATTGCACACAGTATTAGTTGTTATGCTTATTGTAGAGCCATACTATTGTACACAGTATTAGTTGGTATGCTTATTGTAGAACCATACCATTGAACAAAGTATTAGTTGGTATGCTTATTGTAGAACCATACCATTGAACACAGTATTAGTTGGTATGCTTATTGTAGAACCATACCATTGCACACAGTATTAGTTGTTATGCTTATTGTATAGCCATACAATTGCACACTATATTAGTTGGTAAGGTTATTGTAGAGCCATACCATTGCACGGAGTTTTAGTTGGTATGCTTATTGTAGAGCCATACCATTGCACACAGTATTAGTTGGTATGCTTATTGTAAAGCCATACAATTGCACACTGTATTAGTTGGTATAGTTATTGTAGAGCCATACCATTGCACAGAGTTTTAGTTGGTATGCTTATTGTAGAGCCATACCATTGCACACAGTATTAGTTGGTATGCTTATTGTAGAACCATACCATTGCACACAGTATTAGTTGTTATGCTTATTGTAAAGCCATACAATTGCACACTGTATTAGTTGGTATAGTTATTGTAGAGCCATACCATTGCACAGAGTTTTAGTTGGTATGCTTATTGTAGAGCCATAT